CACCCCGGGACACGTGGAGGACCCCCGGAGCCATGCTCAGCACGGTCCGACAGGGCGTCCGCTGGTCCCTGCCGGGCGCATTCTGCCCAGCGGCTCAGCACAGAGCCCACGGCCACCCGCCCGAGGAGCTCAGAGCCGGCGGCAGGGATGTCCGGCAGGAGGAGAAGATGACGGTGGGAACTGCGGCAGTAGCAGCGGCTGCTGGTGCCGGTGGTGGTGGTGGTGTAGGTGGTGGTGGTGGTGGTGCTGGAGGTGGTGGTGGTGGATCGACCGAGGTGCTGGAGGCGGGCAGCAGCAGCAGCAGGAGGCAAGGCGTGAAGAGGCACCGTCACAAGCACAACCTGAAGCACCGCTACGAGCTCGAGGAGACGCTGGGCAGGGGGGCCTACGGCAAGGTGAAGAGGGCGGTGGAGAGGGCGACGGGACGCAAGGTGAGCGACGCGCACGGCACGGGCACAGGCAAAGGCCACCCGTATAGCCTCGAGCAGACCTTTGGGGGCAAGTGCTGTCTGCGTGTGTGCAGGAGTGTGCGTGCAGAGTGTGGGGAGCGGTGGGTGTAGCGGTTAGCGCTACGCTGCGTTATGAACCTGGCGACCCGGGTTCGATTCCCGCTCACGGCTTAACACCATTGATGATTATCTGAACCGGTCCTGGGCCTCCCCTAGGTCGACTCAGTCTTAAATGAGTACCTGGTGCGGTGTGTAAACATCGCCACTGGGGAGACAAAGGCGGTCGGGCGTGGTGCTTGGTCACCCACCCCCTCGTGTACCGTGCCAGCCTTCATAGGTGCTCGCTAACAGCACATGCCCCTACAGTCTGTTAAGGCTATACGGGGGATCTTTATCTTTGTGTCGAGTGAAACCCCTTGAGCCGAGCTGAGCTCTCTTTGCAAGGGCGACTCGAGCAGCAGCTAGGGGCCGGCACGGCACACGAGGGGTGGGCGGGTGGCCAGCCCCACGTCCGGGCCGCCTTTGTCTCCCCAGATATTCGCTTCTTCACAGATGACAGCTCAGCGAGGCTGCTCGTCACGTGGACATTCAAAGCAGCGCACTCATCCAAACAATCTCGAGGCGCCTTTCTTAATGCGAACTCCATCGCAGCGATAGAGTTCTAATCGTCGTCGTTTTTGCGGCGGTGGTGGTGGTGTTGGCTCAGCCCATCATCAACCCTCCTCTCTGGGGGGGTCAGTAAAATGAACGTGGCTTTGCCCCCCACTCCCCCCCCCCCCCACCGTGTCAGCCTTCACGGGCTGGTGGTATGAAAGTGCAACAAGTCATAGGGGAGCTCAAGAAGTCATTGAGAGTTTAACACCGAGGAGGAGGAGGAGGCTTTCACGACCAATATCATCCATGATAAAGGTGTGTTTTGGGCTTGAAGCTTTCGTGACTGCAAGGAATCATATTCTTAGGTGTTTTCGGTAAAGTCACGTAGGTAAAACATCAAAATTAATAAAAATAATAAAATAAAAATAAAGATCCCACCTGATGACGGAGACTTGTGTTGCCTCCGAAACGTCGTGATCTTTATTTTTATTTTATTATTTTTATTAATTTTGATGTTTTACCTACGTGACTTTACCGAAAACACCTAAGAATATGTGTTTTTTGGGGTTAGAACGTGTAAATATAAACAAATGTGTCGTCAAACCCGCCACCACCCGACACAGCCAACTCGTGAGGGTTGTCACGTAAACAGAACGTGGCCAATTCGTCACTAGTACAGCACTAATGCATAGTGCAGTGTAGTGGTATAGTAGTGTATAGTGTAGTGTATAGTAGTGTAGCGTATATTAGTGTAATGGTATAGTAGTGTATAGTGTAGTGTATAGTAGTGTAGTGTATATTAGTGTAGTGGTATAGTAGTGTATAGTGTAGTGTATAGTAGTGTAGTGTATATTAGTGTAATGGTATAGTAGTGTATAGTGTAGTGTATAGTAGTGTAGTGTATAGTAGTGTAGTGTATAGTGTAGTGTATAGTGTAGTGTATAGTGTAGTGTATAGTAGTGTACTGGTATAGTAGTGTATAGTGTAGTGTATAGTAGTGTAGTGTATAGTGTAGTGTATAGTAGTATATAGTGTAGTGTATAGTAGTATATAGTAGTGTAGTGGTATAGCAGAGGTGTGGACTCGAGTCATGTGACTTGGACTCGAGTCAGACTCGAGTCATGAATTTGATGACTTCAGACTCGACTTGGACTTGCATAACAATGACTTTGTCCCACCTCTGAGGTGTGGACTCGAGTCATGTGACTTGGACTCGAGTCAGACTCGAGTCATGAATTTGATGACTTCAGACTCGACTTGGACTTGCATAACAATGACTTTGTCCCACCTCTGTGGTATAGTAGTGTATAGTGTAGTGTATAGTAGTGTAGTGGTATAGTAGTGTATAGTGTAGTGTATAGTAGTGTAGTGTATAGTAGTGTAATGGTATAGTAGTGTATAGTGTAGTGTATAGTAGTGTATAGTGTAGTGTATAGTAGTGTATAGTAGTGTAGTGGTATAGTAGTGTATAGTGTAGTGTATAGTAGTGTAGTGGTATAGTAGTGTATAGTGTAGTGTATAGTGTAGTGCATAGTATAGTGTGTAGTGTAGTGTATAGTGTAGTGTACTAGTACAGCAACACCGCTGTGTTGAAGAGCCAAGCCACGACATTTACAATCAGAGTACGACGTTTGAGACGAGGCTCTAAAGAAAGCTGTCTCTGGTGTGGACCAATCAGTTTCAAAGACAACGCATCATACTATCAGAGCGTGTTTTTGTTTGCATTCTGATCACAAGTATTGTGGTTAATGCAGACGTGATTCCTTGTAAAAGGTTTCAGTTTGGGGTTTTAACATCTTAACACAGCTGTTTTGTTGCCAGAAAAAAGGGGAAAACCTATTCTCGCATTTTTATATTTATGCGATTTAACCCAAAAAACATTTATTGTGGAGTCACTGAAAGTGTTTGTCGGTTGTCGGGAGAGAGACATCGTGAATGTTTCGATTTAAAGCTTTCGTTACCGCAGGGATTCATCTTCTTGGTGCTTTCGGTAAAGTCACGTAAAAGAGAAATAATAAAACAATAAAAATATAAAACATTATAAAATTCCCTTCGACGTGACTTTACCGAAAGAACCAAGAACATCGAGAATGTTGTCGGCGGCCTGTGAGGTTCCACTTTGCTTGGGACAAACTTACGCAGAGGGGTCCCTCCATGCGATACGTGCGGTGCGCTGTGTGTTCCTGCTGAGATCGGATCGCCCTAATTGCGTCTGTGTTTGTTTCTGGGCACATTACAAAAGGCAAAGACAAAGATCCCCCCCTCCCGTATAGCCTTGGCAGACTGTTGAGGCAAGTGCCGTTCTCGAGGAGAGGCTGTGAAGGCCGGAACGGCACACGAGGAAGTGGTGTGGCCGAAAACCACGCCCGGCCGCCTTTGTCTTTCCAATGCAGCGTGCTAACCGCTGTGCTATCGCTCCCCCTAGCACACACACAAACACACACTCACAAACACACACTTACACCCACAAATACACACACACACTTACAAACACACATAAACACACACTCACAAACACACACACTTACAAACACACACACTCACAAACACACACAAACACACATCCACAACGACACACACTCACAAACGCACACACTCACAAACACACACTTACACACTCATAGACACACACTTACAAACACACACTCACAAACACACACTCTCATAAACACACACACTCACACACACTCACAAACACACACTTACAAACACACACACTCACAAACACCATCACACTCACAAACACCACACTCACTCACAAACACCACACTCACAAACACCACACTCACACACACTCACACACAAACACACACTTACACACTCACAAACACACACACTCACAAACACACACACACTTACAAAACACACACTCACAAACACACACACTCACAACGACACATACACACACTCACAAACGCACAAACACACACTCACACACACAAACACACACTTACACACTTACAACGACACAAACACACACACGCACAAACACACACACTCACAACGACACATACACACGCACTCACAAACGCACAAACACACAAACACACACTCACAACGACACAAACACACACACTCACAAACACACACTCACAAACACACACACTTACAAACACACACACTCACACAACACACAACACACATTCACAACGACACACACTCACAAACGCACACACTCACAAACACACAAACACACACTTACACACTCATAGACACACACTTACAAACACACACTCACAAACACACACTCTCATAAACACACACACTCACACACACTCACAAACACACACTTACAAACACACACACTCACAAACACTCACAAACACACACTTACAAACACACACTCACAAACACTCACACTCACAAACACACACTCACTCACAAACACCACACTCACTCACAAACACACACACTCACAACGACACATACACACACTCACAAACGCACAAACACACACTCACACACACAAACACACACTTACACACTCACAACGACACAAACACACACACTCACAAACACACACACTCACAACGACACTTACACACGCACTCACAAACGCACAAACACACAAACACACACTCACACACTCACAACAACACAAACACACACACTCACAAACACACACTCACAAACACACACTCACAAACACACACACTTACAAACACACACACTCACAAACACACACAAACACACATTCACAACGACACACACTCACAAACGCACACACTCACAAACACACAAACACACACTTACACACTCATAGACACACACTTACAAACACACACTCACAAACACACACTCTCATAAACACACACACTCACACACACTCACAAACACACACTTACAAACACACACACTCACAAACACTCACAAACACACACTTACAAACACACACTCACAAACACTCACACTCACAAACACACACTCACTCACAAACACACACACACACTCACAAACACACACACTCACAACGACACATACACACACTCACAAACGCACAAACACACACTCACACACACAAACACACACTTACACACTCACAACGACACAAACACACACACTCACAAACACACACACTCACAACGACACATACACACGCACTCACAAACACACACTCACAAACACACACTCACAAACACACACACTCACAAACACACACACTCACAAACACATACACACTCACACACACTCACACACTCACTCACTCACACACACTCACAAACACACACACTCACAAACACACAAACACACACTCACACACACACAAACACACACTCACAAACACACTCACAAACACACAAACACACACTCACAAACACACACTCACACACACTCACACACAAACACACACTTACACACTCACAAACACACACACTCACAAACACACA